TCCTTTCCTGAGGGTCTGCAGATCTGTGAAGGTGTGGAGTGTCCACTGTCTACCCTGCAGTCCTGCTGAGTCCCTTTCTCCTTTCCTGAGGGTCTACAGATCTGTGAAGGTGTGGTGTGTCCACTGTCCGCCCTGCAGTTTTGCTGAGTCCCTTTGTCCTTTTCTGGTTGCTTTAGACTTGTTCTCTCTTAGGTTTTGGAGACCTCCTCTTGACTAGTGAGCATTTCACAGTTGTCCCTTAGTTTCCCAGTGTCGTCTTTCTGTTGTTAGCTTTTTCTTATTCTCTGTTGGTCCGAGAACACATACTCTGTGATTTGAGAGTTTCTGAATCTGTTGAGCAGAACTTTGCCTTGATGTGTGCTTTGCTGTTGCCTGAGAAGAATGTGGACCTGCATGCCGTCTCCTGGCTGACGTGTTGACCTCTTCTCCGCCCTTTAGGACCTTGCTCTGTTGTTGGTGAGAGGGCTGCAGAACTCTCCCGAAGAACTGTGGCTCTGCTTGGCCCTCCTTCCGTTCCTCCCGTGTTTGTGGCTCTCTAGTGTGCTGCACATGCCCGTGGCAGGGCCTGCGACTGTACTTTCCATCGCTACATCTGTGGCTGCTGTCTCTCTGAAGTCAGCCTGTCCTCAGGCCAGCCCCCCTGCTTCCCAGCATGCGCGGGCATGAGGCAGGCTCTCCCCTCACTTCTGGCCTGCCCTGTACGCTACCTGAGTGAACTTATTGCAGACAGCGGGGAGCTGAGTCCTGTTTTAAATCTGTCCGTGCAGTCTCTGCCCTGGGCTTGGTGTGTTTGGGCCATTTATATTTAATGTAGTACTTTACCTATTAGGGATCAAGTCCAGCAGCCCAGTGTTCATTCTGCCTTTTTCCTGCTTTCAGCTTCTCTTTTCTTTTTGAGACTTCTGATGTGTTACTTGCACCTTTTTTAGAACTTGGACCTTTATCTCTGGGAGTGTGTTTGGTGGCTTTGTTGGTTGCTGGTGTCACGTTGTGGCAGGGGAAGCCTTGGTGTGGGGCCTCCCTGCTCGTGGTGCGCTTGTCCACAGCCCGAGGCCCGCTGCGCCCTGCGGTGTCCACTCTGTCCTGCCTGCTGTCTCTCCTCCCTTCTGTCTTCCCCTGTCTGTTTAGACAACTTCTGCCATGGTCTGCGAGAGGCCTGCTGGTCATCTGAGTCTGACCTGGTTTCTCTTCTGGTCCTGTGGCCTCTCCTGCTGCTCTGCCAAGGCCATCTGCCTCTCTGTTGGTCTCCAGTGCGTGTCTGGCTGCCCGTGGGGCTGTTCACGGTGTCTGCTTGGAAGGCCGTCGCAGACTGCAGCACCGCAGTCGGCTGGCCTCCAGGGGCCCTCGGGGCGGAGGCCTGGCGGCTGTGCGAGCTGCGAGTGGGGCCTGGCTCCATGGCAGCTCCCGCAGAAGCCGTGGGGCTTGCAGCTGGCACAGCTAGGCCCTGTGGCACCAGGGCCCCCCACTGCCTGGTGCTGGGAGCCCCTGCTCCCCACAGTCCCTTGAAGCCCTGGGGGCGGTGTCTCTCCTCGGGGTCTCTGATGCCCCCCAGTGTAGAGGGGCATGGGTGCCCTCTCTCCACCCGCTGGGGTGAGTCCAGACCCCTGTGTGGCCACTGCCGACTCTTGGGGTCGTCACACCCACTCTGGGCCCCCCCTTAACCTCGTGTGGGCAGGTGGCCGGCAGGAGCAGAGGCTCTTCGGGAGTGTCCCCGTTGCTGGCTGCCCCTCCTGGTCCTTCGGTCCGTCTTTCCCCATCAGTCAGCATCTTGAGGTGGCTGCTTCTACAGTTCCGAATGCGCGAGGCAGAGAAACCCGCGGCCTGCCATCACGTGGCGGAGGCTGGTGGTGGGCTCCTTCCCCACCCGTCCACCTCCATGCTCTGACGGTCCGAGGAGTCCTGGGGTTTGGGGACAGGGACAGGGAGAGGTGACCTCTGGGGAGCCGAGTTCTCACCGACTCTTTTAGTAGTGCCCGCCCGAGAGGGCGCTGGAGCCCCGCCTGCTGGTGCCGAGAGCCCTCTGCCTCCTAGACCCCAGTGCCTGGGTCAGGGTCTGGTCCCTGCCTGGTGTCCCAGGGGCGAGGAGAGACTTCTGCAGCTGGCCTGGCTCTTCCCAGTTGCTGCTGTGCAGCTCCTGCCTCTGAGCTGCAGCGGGGCCTGCCGAGGGAGCAGCGGGCCTCCTGCTGCCCTGGACACCCCTGGACTGGCTCTGCTGAGGGAAAGCCTGCGTCGCAGTGTTTCCCGAGGTCTCGGGGTAGCTCTGGGGAGCAGCCCGTGGAGGCCACGCCTGGGCAGGACACACCAGCGGCTCCTGGGGAGAGGTGGCAGGAGCACTCTGAGGACTCACCAGTGGGCAGTGGGCTCCTGTGACCGCTGCAGCCCGAGTGTGGGTTCTGGAGCGGCCCTGGCAGGCGCCCCGACGGGGCTGCGAGGCCTGCGCGGGGCCTGCACCCTCACCCACCCTCTCTGCTCTAGTTCCTCATCTACTGTGTGTACTTCCTGGTGCTGTCTGTCATCTTCTTCTTGGGAGCCGGGCTGGACGGTCTGCGGCACTGCCAGCGGGACTGCCACCAGCCCCTGCCCCTGGCACAGGAGCTGAGGAGCCCCTCCGAGGAGAAGCCCGTGCGGCTGCCGAGTGTGGAACAGGGCCTGGGCGGCCTTCAGCCCTCGGCCCCACCACTGCCCCTGGAGGACAGCACAGAAGATGGCCCTGGGACCTGGGGGCCTGTGGCCAAGGCCTGACACGGCCTGTCCTCCCCAGCAGGTTCCACACTGTCCTGACGGCCGGCCTGACGGGCCCACGAGCCCCAGCACCGTCAGACTCCCACGGCGGAGGCGGGCCTTGTGTGGGTGCCCCCTTGCAGTGCCTGGCGGGGGTGCCTCCTCGGGCCTTAGCACTGGCGGCCTCGGACCCCACCCCTCAGCCCTGCTTCGCTCTGGTGGTGGCCAGAGTGTGCCAGGGACACCAGGGCAGCTGCCTGGATGTGGCCCACACCTCGGGCGACTGGCCTGGGCTGGGCTTGCTGGCTGAGGGGCCCGTGGAGGGCTCCCCGGGGTCTTCCAGGCCTCCCTGCCTGCACCCCTGGGGAGGCTAGAGGCAGATGCTGTGTCCCCAGGGGCTGGCATGCTGGCCCCACGGGCCTGGGGCTCTCATTTACTGTGACGCTTCCCGACACCCTAGGTGCTTGCGTTTTGGACGATGCTGTTTTTATATCTGTAAAATGAGGAACCTTGGCTTCTCCGTCGTGTGCGGGAAGCTGGTCTCAGGGGTGTGACAGAAAACCCATCAGATGGAGTGGTGGCTTGGGGCCCTCAGAGCCAGTCCTTCCCACCAAGGCTTCAGCCCAGGGTCTCTCCTCTGTTCCCGGAGTGA